TGGAGCTTGCGCCGCCCAGCGCGGCTCCCGGGAGAGGAGATCCTGGGTGGCTTTCAAGCCGGGCGCGCGGGCCCCGTTGGGAACCCAGGCCGGGAGCAGCCCCGGAGCTGAAGTTCCTCCGGGAATCGCGGCAGGGGCGCGACTGAGACGGGGGCAGCCGCTGTAGCGTTTTTATTTTGGGGGCGGGCAGCCGCTTCAGCCTTAGGGGCTCCGGCATCTGTCGTCCCCGAGCAGCGCAGGAAGGGGCATCTTTCGAGGCAAGGCTACCGATTCGTCTCGGCTACGAATATTTCTTCTCGTTTGCATTTTACTATGGCATGTTCAAAAATTCACAGATCAGTTTCTTTATATATTCCCAACCGGTTTGTCTTTTAAAAAATAAATAAACATAGGGACATTCGCAGTCCTCCAGTTGTCTAGAGTTTGTCCTTCCTAGGATTTCTAAAAGCCTCTTTATTAATGAAGAATATAAAAAAGATTAGAAAATATCTTGTATCATGGAATCTATTTAGTTGCTTAGGACTAGCTGAGTTGCATGATTTGGGAGTTGACGTGAAATAATTTGGGGAGCGTGGAGCCTGTGGTGCAACCGCGTAACCATCTTTGGGACCCATATAACGTGTGGGTTCACTAGTCCTTCCCATTGGGAGGCTGAGGCAGTAATTGATGTTTGTGGCCATAGTTGGAGGAAGTAGTTTTACCTGGGGGAGTTGAGGTTGTTAAGGCTTGTCCTGAGGTTCACTCACAGGACATTCTGGGTCTTTTGTACTCAGTTTTTATTTTGGGGTCCATGTTGCTTCCTAGTAGCAACGTTGCCTGCCATTCATCTGAGCACTGGATGCTCTCTAGCCTAGCCACAAGCACTAGGTTCCCTATCCTCGGGGGAATGAGTGTGTTCAGCTGTTGGCCCATAGGATGGAGGCCCTGGTAAAGGCAGGGAACCTGCACCTTCATGAAATTTGTGCTTTTTTGTCTGAGTGCTTAGGGGTTTCTTCCTGATTACTGTGGCTCCCAAGATCAGTGCTGCCACTAGGTCATCTAAGGGGAGAGGGGCTATTGAGCTCAACATATGGCTGTGTTAAGGTATTGTGCTTGGTAGTGAAGGAAATGCTTCTCTTTGTCAGCCCTAGAGACCTCCACTCAGGCTCAATGACTTTGTTAAAAACCTTGGGAACAGAAAGCACATTGGGAACACCTTTGCTAGCATGGGTCCAACAGGGTGTATAAAGAGCAGGATAGTTCTGGATTCTTCAGGCTGGAGGTCTTGAGGACTTTCCTAAGTAGTTATGTAAAGTCTGCCTTTTGAAAAAGCCTGCAGAATTTGGAAGCTGTGGGTCATCTTCCTCACATATCTCCCTTTCTTTCTAGACAAGTGATCTGCAGATTTTACACAACTACTTAGGCAAGTCTACCAGACCCCCAGCCAGAAGAATCCAGAACTATCCTGCTCTTTATACACCCTGTTGGATAATTGGAGAGCCAGCTGAAGTAAGCCTTTATGTTCGGACAGGACCTAGCAAAACTATTAGAACAAATCTAGAGCAGTGGGGGCTGGATATCCAGCATCACCAGCTTTCTTCCCCTGTGGTGTCTAGACCATCCAGCTCCACATAGATGATGTTCCAGGAAGGTCAATGAGCTTGTTAGCCATGGGGCCTTTGAAGTTTACCCACAAAACAAAATAAAAAAGATAAAAAATAAAAAAGCTTTGGTAGTCCTGGCCACACAAATGAGCTAGCAAAAATGCGTCCTGTTCAGAGCAAGGTCAGGCCACAGCTAGGGAAAGTATACTCTGACTCAGCAGGTTGGAAGTTCCCACTTGCAGCCCCCCTGGCTCTGCTGTAGGAAGCGTGGCACAGGATCTGTAGGCACAGGGTCACAGACAAGCTCTTCATGGATGTACTATGTCTGACCAGCCCTTACCAAAAGCTGAGTTTCCAAAGCATCTTACTATTATGGAGTTCTGTAGAGAAGCCTCTCAGCCAGAGGCCTTTAGCAAAGCCCCACCAATGAGCTGCCAATAAAATTTGCTCATCATTCTGTCCTGCAGTGGGATAAATAGCAACCCAAGTTTTGCCCCAGTGTTCACCCAGCATGAAACTCAACAACTGTGGGGTTCCCAGGCATTCTCCTGTCCAAGCATTGCCTAATCTATAACATCCTTGGCTTCACATCCCCTTTAACTGCCTAGTCTTACCCAAGCATTGTATATTTACCGTCATTAAATGTCACCATTTCCAGCCACAGGCCTTCTTAGCTAATAACAGTCCCAATAGTTTAGCTAGTGGAAGAATGTGGAGAGAGGGATTGGAACACACCTCCCCTTTCCTTTATGCTTGAAGAACAGATGCAAGGGCCTTGAAAGCTCTTTAGGGGAAATACCAAACACTTCCAAATACCTCTTTGCATTAGTTTAAGTGGGGAGACTGACTAAAGTTGTTTCCCGAAAACACACTGGTTGGGAATCCTAAGAGCGGTTATCCAACACACCTGGAAGGTACCGATGGAAGAAGCACTTTCCTTCCTTCATTGTTACAGTTTAGAGAGAGAGTTTGGGCGAGCGTATATCTTCATACCAAAGAAGCAACAAGAACTACAAGTGCCAGAGTGTTCTACTCAGTCCGCAACCACCCCCACATCCAATTGTTTATATATTTATTTTAATTGTATTTATTTTAATTGATTTATATAGCCACCCATTTTGATTCAGGCAGCTAACAAGGATTTAAAAATGCAACATAAATTATTTTTATGTATGTATGTATATCCCAGCCAACTAACACAAAGTGGTTCCAGAAAACACTCTGCAGCAGTTCTGGCCCCCATGCCTAGGAAAAGAGCCAGGTCTTCAAGGCTTTCTGAAAGGTGAGTGGAGTCAGGGTCAGCCAAACTTTGGTGCTGTGGTGTTCCAGGAGGCAGGTGCAGGTACAGAAACAGCATGCTTCCTGGGTCCTGCAAGATAACAATCCCTGATTGACAGGACCCAGAGGGAACCCCTTCTGCCTGACATAATGGGGTGGGTAAAAACAAGGGGAGTAAGGACATCCTTCAAATACTCTGGCCCCATGCCACATAAGGCTTTATAGTAATAACCAGCACCTAGAATTGCACCTGGAAGCAAATTGGGAGCCAGTGCAGCTTGCAGAACAAAGGTATGATGTGGGCATAATGAAACACACCAATAATTGCCTGTGCCATTGCATTCTGGACCAATTAAACCTGGAGGTTCTTCAACGGCAGCCCCATATAGAACACATTGCAGTAATCCATTTGGGAGGTGACCAAAGCATCGGTGACCATGTGCAGTACCTCATCATCATCCCCGTCCTGCTTCATCCACAAGTGCAGTCAATACTGTTTCAGACCCATACCCCAGCCTGAAACCCGACTTGATGAAATATTTATTAGCTCCCCTTCAAAATGAATATATTTGTCCACTCAAATCAGTCTACTCCCATTTATGAGGCGTGAAATTATGCTGGATGAAGTGCAACCTGATGATCTAAAGGAAGTCTCTTCCAAAGCATCTGAACACCAGCAAGCTTTCACCAAACCAGAAACAGGCGAGGTGCATCTCAAGATAGGTCATCTGCATACACGATCAGCTTGTCAGATATTAGAAAGTTTCTGTATGGATGAAACTGATACAGCACTGCAAATAATTGCAATATATAATTCAAAGGCAAGAGTCATTGGAGAAGACCCTCAATGCTTAAAAAAAAAATCAAAGACAATCAAAAAAGCTGACAGAAGACATGGTAACTAGATACTAACACTGATGATACAAGCAGAAGCTTCCAAAAACTCAATTAGTTACTGACAAAAAATTATAGCAAAAGGATGTCCATCAAATCACGAAGAGTCAGAAGCAACTGAAAGTCTGAACAAGTTAGCAATTAAAAAGCATTGCTGCTTTATATTAAAATAAAAAGTCATATTATCATAATACTATAATACAAGGAATAAGGATACTAATGAAAATACTAAAAACATCACATAAACCTGTTTTTTCAAAGATTTTTAAAATTATCCTTCAGAATTATATACTATTATCAGATGCTGTGTTCTACTGGTTTGCTGGTGAGAAAAACATGTTGAATACTACAGCAAATCCCACAAAGATTAAATATACAGTTATACAAATCCAGAATCTAGGATCTTTAATGAATTTTTTATCAAAATTGCTGAATATGACATAACCTACTGACATTCCAGCAAGGCCGCCTGCAATGTGGGCCACAAAGGAAACCTTAGGGGAAAAAACACACATACACACATATATATATTTAGTAGCTATATTTCTTGGAGAGTCAACCTTTGGTGCAAACAGCCAAAGGACAACACACAGAATATTGCAGCATTAGTGAAAACCAGAACAGAAATGTTGGCAAATATGCAGGATTTTGCTGCTGCCCAGCACTACAAAGCAGTGGCCATAAGCATGGGCAATGACAGCTGCAAATGGATTTGCAAGAACAGTTCCCAAGTAAGGGACTCTGCCTTAACAAAACAGGAATAAAGAGTGGAGACTCCACAAAAAGGAAACTGGAAGATAAGGAGAAGGTTTCCAGAATAAACCCAAGTGGGCAACTGAATCCAAAGTAGTCCATCTCTCTCTTTCACCTACTCAGAAACAGAAAATGTACCTAGTTCTAAGGAGAATCTTGATTTCATGCTGCTGGAAGTGAGGGCTCTGTGAAATAATTGCTTTCCTTATTGAAAGAGGTCAATGGTCCTCTTAAAAACGTATCTCCAAGCTGCAGCTCTCAGCTCTACATGTGATTAATTTGCTGTTTCCACTGATTCTGTTTGTACCTATGGAACCTTTATAGTGCAAGGGTGTTCATTTTAACTTGCCATGATCAGGAGCCCTATGCAAATGCAGATCCAAAAAGCATGCTTAGATCTCCACCATGTGTGCTGACATTCTGCAATAAAAAGCAGTACAAGTCTCCTCATTGATCCACTTTCCACTGCAGCCTAAAATGTGTAAACAGTTCTCTGACATCTGGACCAATTTCCAGTATCGATTTGCTAGTATAGACTTGATTAGCTCTAATCCTGCAATGTGTACTAGAAAGGGAAAAGAAGAGAGAACAATTTCAGCTTAATACAAGATAGAAAGGGAGAAAATGCAGCATTCAGATAATGTAGCAAGAAGTACCTGGTGCAAGTTTGCATAGAAAAGAAATAAAAGAATGCCAAATTATTTATCAGAACTGTAGCAAAATGAACCAGCAAGCTAAGAGAGTGAAGGTGAGTTTTAACAGGAAATATGCACTTACCTGAAGCCCATTTAAAGGAGAGAGAAATCTTCTGTACAAAGCAAATCCTACATCTGTTCCAACTAGGAATTTAATACAAATGGTCAGAAGCCAAATTTGCAGTGTCTCACCCTCACTGATAGGTTGTTCCCAGAGGAATGTGTAGGTAGAAGTTATTTTAAAAAAGTAGAGGGCTAGGCTGAATAAAGCTGGAGCCATCTTCTCTGAAGAAATTAAAATTGTCCAGTATACTTCATAACCTCTCTTCCCCCAAACAAACTGCATTGTGTAACCTGTTTGCAGAGCACACCAACATAACCCATAGAGCATTCCAAGAGTGAGGAAATGAATCTCGTTCAGGACTGGACTGATTTTTCCATCTGCACTGATAGATTGGAATGCATCAAGGAATGGGGCCTTGGGGAGAGTAGCCCGATTATTGATGCCGTCTGTTCATAAGGCACACCAAGAAGCCATCATTCCTGCCTCACTTAGCTTGGAGAATATGCTACATTAAGAAGCAGTGGGAACGCAGCAAAACTGGTTACATCCCCCAATATGCTAAAAAAATATTGTGGATAACTATATAAGATGTAAAAGGCACAGGCGACGAGCCCCTTCTTTTGGTGTGACAGTTCCCACTAAAACATTCAATGAATTGATCCTATGCTGAGAGAGCTGAACTGAGCTTTGGTTTCTTAAAAGAGCCTCTCTCATGAAATGCCACTTATAATTTCATCAAGGTCATTAGGAAGGTGGGTTTAGCCCAAGACAATTCCAGATTTGCTGCTTTGGCCAGGGCACCACTGATACAGCACTATCATTGATTGAGCAAAGCCAAAATCCATCTCCCCCAAAAGCCTGGCTTTCACATATCCCCATCTTCTAGAAACCAACTTGTTGAAAAGCACAAAGAGCAGGCACTCCAGGTGATCTCTCTCCAACCATTCTCTTGGCAATGAACCTCTGCTGAAACTCAAGGACTTAGTCAAGGAGGCAACAAGTGACTGATTTTGGTGGGCTGACTCTATTGATTTTACTTGGAATGTCCTTGTTTTCTGCATGTTTTCCTCTCCAATAAACTCTTTTTTCTATCCATAGATTTGGCTTCAAACGCATTATAAGGGAATTTCTACTTTTTTTTTTTTTTGGCATATGCAAGCCTGCCCAGTTACCTCTTATGTTTCAGAACTGGGGCAAGGTTGGTTAAGTTCTGTATTTCTGGGCTTGGGGCAGAAAGATCCAAAGTGCTTTTCTTTCCATTTTTTTTCTAGAAATCAATCAAGGATAGTGCATTTTTTTTCTCTCCAAAGGGAGAAGCTCGAGGAACTCCCCAGCTGGACAGACTAGGGGATGGCAGGATGATCAGGGGCACCATCCCATAAATTATCTTTTATTAAAGAATCCCTGGAAGAAGAGGTTTGACAAATTTTCTTTTCTTTTTTTATTTTTCTGCTCCCAGTTTATATCAGCATGCAACCCTCAAGTACTTTTTTTTAATTTATGAATTTTAATAATAACAGATTAAATGGCTTCTCACACTTTCATTTTTCTGTTTATTTATTAACCCTAACCCTAACCCATAACAGCCTCATCCAAGCTGAAAGAGGATGTCAAAACACAAACTTTCTTTCCCCTATGGCTAATTTGGTATGTGAAAGAATAGAAGTGTAGATATGCTTAACTGAGGATGGGAGAGAAAAAGTAGGGTGGCAATTTCTCCAATTTTAGTACAGGAACTTGATCAAGTTCAGAACACAGCACATAAAAAAGTTACCTATTAGGCTGATGAACAGCAGTCTTGCAACTCCAAACAGAGGAATCATTTCTCGGAAGTTCTGGAAGAAAAAGAGATATCAACAAACTCTAAAATAATTCCATATCAAATTATAAGCAAAAAGTTAAATTATATCACCAATGGATCAAATCAAGATCACAGAATCATAGAATATAAGGATTTGAAAGGATCTTAAGAGAACACCCAGTCTGACCCTCTGCCTAACACAGGAACCCACTCCGACAGCATCCTTGATAGATGGCCTTCCATCCACTATCGGGGCAATTGCATTATTCAACAGCTAATATGATAATAACAGTTATTTTCACACTACAAGTGTTAATTAACTTGTTAATACCAAGTCAGCAGAACTTGTGAATGGTCCTATTTATTTTACATTATGATTAGACTTTAACAGAATAGAAGAGAATCTCTGTAGCTCAGGGTTGAACTGTGGAGTCCTTGGTGCTCTCTGGGCTTGGTTGTTTCATTGCAGTCATCTCATTACCCAGCTAGGTAACATCATCAGTGCGAGTGAGTGTGGGGTTTGCTTCCTGTTAGTATACAGTAGCCTGCCCTGCCAGTGTTGGTGGGGATGTGGTTTTCTCCTTGGTAGTTCATTGATTAGGGTGTTGTTTTCTGCTTGTTTGTCTGTCTGGTGTTAATCCCTGCTTTTATTTTCTCTTTTGAATGGTGTGTAAATATGGTTTATTCCTATGTGTTTATTGATGGCTATGAATCTATTGATGGCTCAGCCATCAACAGACATATAGAAAAAAACCATATCTACACGCAGAAATAAACCATATTTACACACCATTCAAAAGAGACAATAAAAAAGCTAAGAAGGAAACGAATAATCAGGCAGAAAACAATACCCTAATCAAGGAACTACCCAGGAGAAAACCACACACCCACCAACACCGACAGGGCAAGCTACTGTATATAAACAGGGAGCAAACCCCACACTGACCAGCACTGATGATGTAACCTAGTCGGATAATGAAATGTCTGCCAGCAAACAACAAAGCTCAGAAAGCACCAAGGACTCCATTTAACAGAATAATTATTACTGCCTGTATTTTGTACAAGTTTATTCCCATCTGAGATTTTTTTTTCTCTGAAGACCCACAAACAGATGTATATTTCAGCCAGCTCAGGGATGACATTCTGTGCCTTTGTAAAAGCAGGTTTGGATTATGAAAACTTTGGCCAGTGACACAAGGCAGGGAGGGGAATATCTTTCTTTCAGAGCTGTAGCTCTTTAGGTAGTCCTCGCTTAACATCCCTAACTGGGATGGGAATTTCCATTGCTAAGTGAAGCAGCTGTTAGGTGAAAGATCAGGTGACCACATCGCTTAGCGACAGCACTGCCGGTAGTCCTTCGTGCTTCTCCTGCTCTGCACAGAGTGCCAGCTCCTTCCCCGGCCAGGCCCAGCGAGCTCCCTTCAGCAGATGAGGTGCTGCCGCCCTGCCACGCTCGCCTCCACTTCAACTCCCCCCACCTGCCTATCTCCCCCCCATCTCTGTCATAGAGGCCTTGCAGAGGCATCGCGAAAGGCCAGCAGCAGCCTCAGCCAGGCGCACCTCGTCAGCACCAGGAGGAAGAAGATGGCGAAAGTCAGTGGGTGGCGGCGGGGATTGGCAGCGGTAAGCAGCAATGGTTGCAGGGTGGCCAAAAGGACAGAGATGGTGGGAAGATAGGCAGGTGGGGGGAGTTGAAGCACATGTGTGGTCATAATGTGTGCAGGAAGCCAAGCACCCAACTTTTGATCACATAACTGTAGGGGCACTGCAACAGCCATAACTTCGAGGACCAGTCATAACTACCATTTGTTCAGTGCCACTGTAACTTTGAACAGTCACTGAACAAATGGTCATTAAATGAGGACTACCTATAGCAGATATTACCTTTTATCTTAGATGTGGGAGGAACAAGAGAGAAAAAGTTGTAAAATTCATGAAATTTCAGGGTTGCCATGTATAACTCTTGACACCTCGATTCTACATCTGGTTGAATCACTTGAAAGGGAAATCTTAACACCCCCCCCATGTCCAAGCAACCCCCTTACCACTAGAATATTCATGAAGTATCCTCCAATCAGAGCATAGACACCTCCTGACGCTCCGACTAGACCCTGCAGAGGATCACAGATGGAGCTTGCCAAAGAACCTAAAGAGAGTTAGGTCAATTAACCAAGATAATGCTGGCTGCTTGGCATGACTAAGCAGGTATAAGTCTGGATAGAGACACGCAAGTTAAAGTGCGAGACGCTTTTTGATTCCCAAATGTGAACATTCAGGCCCAGCATTTCAACAGGCTATAACTCTCATACTGCTTTGTGTTGAAAAGTGGCGTAGCTGCCATCAAACCTTTCCCTGACAGTACTGACCGGCAATTACTCCTGCGAGATACACAGCTCCAACTCGGTGTCCTTTATGAACCAATTCCAGGGGAATCCCCAAGCAGAGTTGCAGGACAAGGTTCCCTATGATATGTTCAAGGCTGCAGAAGGAAAGATGAGTCTAAGATTAATACTTACCTTCTTCAGAAAAAAAATCACAGCACACTTTGAGATTACTTTGAATGATAAAATGGGATACAAATTTAAGAAAGATATAAATATTCAGATTTTAACATAGCTATGCAAGTACCACAAGCAACTTAACTGGAGATGAAATAATTAAATACAGTTAGACCTATCTGTGCTCTTAGCCCAAGGCCATAAAGCAGCTTAAACCCCAGTGGAAACCAAAGTAAAATGACGAAGCAAAACACAACCCAAAGCCTCCACCGGCACATGCTGACGTGAACGTAACAGACTGCTTACCCAGCATGCAAGAACATATAAGACAAAAACCTCCAGGCTTCCTTTCGCTTGTCAGGCCTGTATATAAACGGACTTTCCCAGATACCCATATCTAGAGTGATCCATTGTTTCTGGGGCTTCCAAACAGCATAATAAATGAACGCTGCCAGCTAGAAAAAAACAGGGGAAGCCTTTCAGTCCGATATTTGATTCAGATAACAGTGCAGGTTAAGAACAAAGCAACTGGGGCCTGTTCCGCTAACCTCTTAGGTTGGCCAGAAATAGGTCTTTCAGAAGGTTAACAACAGGAATGGACTTCCAGATGATACCAGCTGCTCTTCCCACAACCTATCACCATAAGCCACAATGTTTGAAACAATTAGGAGGCGTAGATCAATAACAGCTGGGGGAGGGGGGGGACACAGGCTTCCCCCATCACCAGTTTGGGAAAATGGAGGTGACACCGGCACGTAGGATATGGGCTTGCCCCACTGAGGTCCCATATTGGCTTAATATTCTTGGTTTTGGGAAGAATAAGATCTGGAGATGTGAATGAGATTTTGAATTATATATCAAACATTTGGAATTTATCAATATCTGAAGGACTACAGATTTAGATGCTGCCAAAAAAAAAAGACTATTCTGTTACAGTGGGAAGACTGTGCAACTACTGATTTACTATTCTGAATTAATGACATTTATTCAACTCTCTGCTCTGAACTGGTTATGGATAAAATGAAAAGATTGATCAATATTATTCCAAGTGATCAAGCTGTCTGTTTTAAGTATGACAATATGTTTTTGTACTTTTTTTCTTTTCCCTTTAAAAAAACGTATTTAAAAAAGGTTTGTAATTTCTTTTTTATTTCTCACAGAATCATAGATGTCTTCAGAGGTCACCTAGTCCAATCTGAGGTGCAAAATCTAAAGCATTTTGAGCAGGTAGCTATCCATCCTGTGAAGACTTCCAAAAACGTGGAAGATACCATTTCATGAGGCAGCCTATTCCATTTTCTGGTCAGGAAAGTCCTCCTAATATCTAATCTGAGTCTACTTCCTTATAGTTTTGACCCACTGCTTCTGGTCCTGCCCTCTGGAGTCTTCTACTTCCCACCCATTAATACAGAATTAATCACTTTAATATCCCTTCTGTGTATTAAAACAATCAAAATTAAATATTAAATGGGATACTGATAGTGTAAGGAAGCAACACTCATTTTGTTCTTAGCTACATTTCTAAGCATGGATTTCTCAGTCATCTTGTAAAGCAGCCTTTGATACTGAATTTTTTTAGGAATTCAACAATGCCCACACAGTCACTCTCCTGTCCCCACCCTAACCCTAACCCTAACCCCACCCTTAGGTCTATGTCCTCTGTGGTCCCAAGGAGCCTGCAATCAGTTGCTTGGCGTGTTGCAGAAAACTACCCTTTGCAGCAGTTTGCTGGAAAAGGAAAGGAAACTTTGCAGTTGTTGTTTTTTCCCCTCTTGGGGAATCTCTTAATAGAGCTCAGTTTATTTACTTGTTTATTTTACTAGGCTGATATGGCACTCCAATAGTCAATCAACTCTGAACAGCTTTCAAACCTACAATCTATAATTAAAACACCCCAACAGTAAATATATTAAAAATATTCCTATACTGAGAAACCTACATGACTATACTCCTTCACAGGCATTTTCCCTGGCATTTAACCTTGGTGTTCTCTGAGCTTGGTGGTTTGCTTGCAGATGTTTCATTACCTGACTAATATCTGCAGTCAAACCACCAAGCTCAGAGAGCACCAAGGACCCCACAGTTCAACCCTGAGCTACAGAGATTCTCTTCTATTGGATTCAACCTGTTTCTCTTGGATAAAAGAGATAGCCTTATATTTGTGGAAAAAGTACAGTGCATTCGGAAAGTATTCAGACCCCCTTCACTTTTTCAATTTTGTTATGTTGCAGCCTGATACAATCGTTCAAATTTTTTTTCTCATTAATCTACACTCAATACCCCATAATGACAAAGTGAAAACAGAATTTTAGAAATGTCTGTAAATTTATTAAAAAGAAAAAACTGAAATATCACAATGGCATAAGTATTCAGACCCTTTGCAACAACACTTGAAATTTAGCTCAGTTGCCTCCCAC